CTTTTTTTTGAGACGGAGTTTCGCTCTTGTTACCCAGGCTGGAGTGCAATGGCGCGATCTCGGCTCACCGCAACCTCCGCCTCCTGGGTTCAGGCAATTCTCCTGCCTCAGCCTCCTGAGTAGCTGGGATTACAGGCACGCACCACCATGCCCAGCTATTTTTTTTGTATTTTTAGTAGAGACGGGGTTTCACCATGTTGACCAAGATGGTCTCGATCTCTTGACCTTGTGATCCACCCGCCTCGGCCTCCCAAAGTGCTGGGATTACAGGCTTGAGCCACCGCGCCCGGCCTCTTTGTAATCTTTAACACAGTTCCCCTTCATTAGCCTAGACAAGAAAGTCATGGTCAGTTCTTTGTCTCCTTTTTTGGCTATATTCAGCATACAAAGCTGCCTGGTATTAAGATGAACAGCATTTATGAATATGAACCATAGAGTTAATACTGAAAACACTTGAAGTTACTTTTAAAACAGACTTGGTTTCTGTCTAGGCACAGTGGCTTACACCTGTAATCCCAGCACTTTAGGAGGCTGAGGCGGGTGAATCACCTGAGGTCAGTTCAAGACCAGCCGGGGCAATATGGCAAAACCACATCTCTACTAAAAATACATAAATTAGCCAGACATGGCGGTGCACACCTGTGGTCCCAGCTCCTGGAGAGGCTTGAACCCAGGAGGTGGAGGTTGCAGTAAGCTGAGATTGCACCACTGCACTCTGTCCTGGGCAATAGAATGAGACTCTGTCTCAAAAACATAAAAAAATAAAACAGACTAGGTTTTTGGCCAGGGACAGTGGTTCATGCCTGTAATCCCAGCACTTTGGAAGGCTGAGGCAGGCAGATCACCTGAGGTCAGGAGTTCAAGACCAGCCTGGCCAACATGGTGAAACCCTGTCTCTACTAAAAATACAAAAAAAAAAAAAAAAAAAAAAAAATTATATGGGTGTGGTGGCAGGCACCTGTAACCCCAGCTACTCAGGAGGCTGAGACAGGAGAATCGCTTGAACCCAGGAGGTGGAGGTTGCACCCAGGAGCTGAGATCATGCCACTGCACTCCAGCTTGGGCAACAAAGAGCAAAACTCCGTCTCAAAAAATGAAACAAAACAGACTAGGTTTCTTCCAAATATATTTACCACATCCACATGTACAGTATTTTGCCATTTTTGTGTATTTTTAAATTTAAAAAAATGTTAAGTTAATGCTAATACAACCAACTCCTACTAAACAAAGTATTGGTAACAGTGATCAGACAAGGACTTGCAGGGGGCGGCAGGAATAGGAATTCGGGAAAAGAATATACAAGAATGAATCAGAAAAGAAAAAAAAAAAGAATGAATCAGAAAAGACGTCTTTATTTATAGAAAAACCTTTAATAAGAACTTTAGACTTACATGACCCTTCTGCTGCTCGGAACACTATGGATTAACACACAAACTGGAAAGATACAGATGCAGGAATCTGCGGCACTACCCCCAAACGGCAGAGTCTTGATTCGGGGTTCAGCTCCTTTCCCAACCCCAAATTGGCACATTTTCCCATGGAAATTCAAACTGCATCTCTAAACGATGAGGTGCATGAACTGTCTGTTTCAAAGGTATTTAAAAACAAACAGGAAGTACAGCTACCATTCCATTTCAGAAAACGCCACCACAAAGCATGGTGCAGTGTCTACTAGCTTAAAGTTTATCACTCCATTAGGGCTTGTTGACAGCAGAAATGTGAATGTAGTAATGTAGAAATAAGGAAGACAGCACTCTGGAAAAAAAAAATAGTACTAGAAGAAGTCTTAGATTTTTTTAAACTTTAATAATATGCTTGACTAATATAGTCAAAAGTGATATGCACTCGTGAAATTAACCCAATTTCTTAAGTCCAAATTAGCTATTAAATCTTTGTATTTTACCAAAAACATACGGGGATTTAGTAGACTGTATCGATTACATAACTTTCCTACCAACCTAAAGATTATCAACTTTGTTGTTACTGTCTAGTGATTTTCAAACTAGGCATGAAATTCAGGGTGGGAAAGAAGGGATACACGTTTTGTTTCAACTAGGGTAGCTGCATGTTATCCTGTCTTTAAACTGGGCTTTTATGTAACTTGTTTTTTGAGACAGGGTCTCGCTCTGTTACCCGTGGCTCTGAAATGGAGGGAACTGGATGTTTTGAGGAATAAAGTGGTGTGGTCACAGGTCACAGGTCACAGAGCCTCCATCTCCCAGCTTGAAGCCATCTTCCCACTTCAGCCTACTGAGTAGCTGGGAATACAATGTGCACCACCCTGCTGGCTAGTTTCTGTATTTTTTGTGGTGACAGGATTTTGTCATGTTTCCCAGGCTGGTCTCAAACTTCTAAGCTTAAGCAATCCTCCTGCCTTAGCCTCCCAAATTACTGGGATTACAAGCATGAGCCACCACAACCGGCTATATGTAACATTTTATTTCAACAAACAGTCCCAACACTGTATTACCTGATAGAAACTTTAATAATGTTAAAAAGCAGTCAAATCCTTATATAAACTTCACTCAAAACATTCACTTTATTCCTGAAAACATATATATCCAGTTCCCTCCATTTCAGAGCCGTAAAGCCTAGAGATAAGATACATAAAAACCATGCCCACAACAGATCTTTGTGCATATACAGTGTATATATACATACCATAAGCAGCATTGCATTAGGTAGTGTTACATAAATGAAATTTTGCAAAGGATTAGTAAGCATGTCACTGAAACTTTATTAAACAAAAGGATGGGCCTAGCATGGTGGCTCATGCCTGCAATCCCAAAGCTTTCAGCAGTGGGAGGTTTACTTGAGTGAGAAGTTTGAGCTGGGGAGTATAGTGAGACTCCATCTCTACAAAAAACAAAGAAACTAGCTGGGTGTGGTGGCAGGCACTTGTAGTTCTAGGTGTTCCAGAGCACTTTTTGAGTCCAGGAGTTTGAGATTGCAGTGAGCTGTGCTCATGCTACTACCCTCCAGCCTGGGTAACTCAGCAAGACCCTATCTCTTTAAAAACAGAAACACAAAAGAAATATGAGCTATCTTCCATTAAAAAATTTACTCTGGAGCCAGGAGCCAGGAGCCAGGAGCCAGGAGCCATGGCTCACACCTGTAATCACAGCACTTTGGAAGGCTAAGGCAAATAGATCTCTTGAGTCCGGGAGTTTGAGACCAGCCTGGGCAACATGATGAAACCCCATCTGTACAAGAAAAAAACTAGCCTGGGCAACAGAGCAAGACTCTGTAAAAATAATAATAATAATAATAATAATAATAATAATAATAAAGCAACCTCAGTTTTCTAATTAAATTCTAACATGAGGCAGGCAACTTAACCCGGACAGTTGTAGTTACATGAATCTACCAACAAACAAAACAAAATTCCATTTTGCATCATTATCCAGGATTGACAATGAAAGAGTCTAACATAAAGGTACTAGAAGGTCAAGTTAGAGATCTAATGAGAAAGTGAAATACAGACTACATAGTTGTTCTGTTGGTTAATATGCCCAAAATAACAGTTACTTTCATTACTACGTCTTACAGAAACAAAAAGTTTATTACTTTTCAGAAGGAAAAAAGTATCCTATATGTGAAAATAATTTTCAGCACAAGAGCAAAATAGAAAAAAATAAATCTTCCTGGAACACATTAGCAAGAGATGTTAGTTTTTATTTGTTTAAAAAGTACAGGTGGTGGTTTCAAGAAAAGACTTTTGCTAAAAGCAGCTAGCAATAAGATTATGGCTATCAAACCATTTCTTTCACAGAAAGTGACCATTCTTTGAAGTGTTTACTGTTTTTGAAAGTTTCTTAGAACAGTCTTAACATTCTAAACAGTCTGTAGTTCTACATGTCATTTGTTGTCACAATCTTGGGCAGAAAAATCACTAATAAGAGGAAGCAGAGGCCAGGCACAGTGGCTCACGCCTGTAATCCCAGCACTTTGGGAGGCCAAGGTGGGCGGAGCACGAGGTCAGGAGTTCAAGACCAGCCTGACCAACATGGTAAAACCCCATCTCAATTGAAAATACAGAATTTAGCTGGGCGTGGCAGCGCCTGCCTGTAATCCCAGCTACTCAGGAGGCTGAGGCAGGAGAATCACTTGAACCTGGGAGGTGGAGGCTGCAGTTAGCCGAGATTGTGCCATTGCACCCCAGCCTGGGCAACAGAGCAAGACTCCATCTCAAAAAAACAACAACAAAAAAAAACAGGAAGTAGAGAGCTTTTTGAAAAATAGCCTTGATCAATCCAGCAAATACAGTATTCAGAAACACTACAGAGCAACAAAGTCTTCTCATAAGAGTCACATCTATAGTATTTTTTAACAGAAATATAAACCTAAAACTTCCATTCTCTAGATTTAAAAGATTGGCTTACTCATAACCAAGTCTTAGACCAATCTGTTCTCAATATATTTTAAATGCAGTTATAAATTCAAGAGACTGATTCATTTTAAGAAAAATGCCAATAATTACAAGCTGTATTAAAGCTAAACTAGTTAGGAAGTTATGGTTCCATTACAATTACAATACTGTGGTGCAGAACACTACTATGGGAACATGCAGAATACTTTTAAAAAATAACTTCCTTTGAGGTGTATTTGTGTCCACTGAAGTTGGATTTAATGTTTGAAAGTTACCTAAATTGGGCCAGTGGTATCATGAAGAAGATACATGATTAAGCTGGATACTTGTGGTTCAAATTAAGTCATGAGTATTAACTCTACTTACCTTCTTATGAAATTCAAACTGACTTTAAAACAATTTGAACAATACCAAGAGAGCCTCTCAAGTGGCTGTTCCAAGTAACAACAATCATTTGAATTATTCATAAATCTTACTTCTTTGGGTGGGAAGTTGAACGACATGGTCTCTAATGCCCCTTCCAATGCTCAGTCTTTACAATCATACCCCATACATACAAATAAAATAATTCCTACACACGTTGTATTAGAAGGGCATCTTATAAAATCAAAGTATTACATAATAGAGTACATTTCCTTGAAACCAATCATATATTAATTTATTCTACCTAACAACATACTACCGTTAAAAGTGTAATAATTGACCAAATGCAGAAGCCAGCTTCTGCATCCTTAATGATCACTTTAATATGCGTGGAGGTGATTAATACTACGTTACAGACTCACTAGTCTGCAAAATAATTCAAGATAAATCAATATTTATTAGACAATAAAATAATTGTTCCAAAGGATATGTCTAAATAACTTCAAAGAAGTTATTACCAAAAAGTTAAAAAGGAGTATCTTCCATGGTAAGTTTGTGATAAAATAATTTAAACACATGATTGACTCTACAAATCTTTTTTACAAATTACTTTGGAAGTTAAATAAGAGGAAATGTTTTTCTTTTTCCTCTGCTACCTCTTATTTTGTCCTTCCAACTTCTGATCCCCTTAATATACAGTATCATTTATGTAAACTCAAGAATTCATGGTAAAAGGCATCTTTTTGCTTCACAGAAATCATGACCTACAGATAAAACAAGGTAAAAACTGAGAACTAAACTTTTTCCAAAAAAATTACAAAATGGGATATATAACATTATCTTTGGAAAAATGTATTTTCTTTCTACTAGAAATAGCAGAAATCCTTCTATATATTTTTCTTCCCCAATTGCATGTTTAATCATCATACATTCCAGTAGTGTGCATGAAAAAACTTCTCAGCCAGAGGTATTTAAGTGATTTCTTCACAAGTATTTTGGCTAATTCAGTGGCCAAGAAATTATGATGTTTAGTCTCTGATTAGATGGAGTCAAGAAACAAAACAGATTTAAGTACCAAGGGATAAAGCTGATAAGACCCAGCAACAATCTGTCATTACTTCAGCTATTAGTCTGCTTTCTCTCCCCTCCCACCCCCACGAAAAAGTTCTGCTCTACTTAAGTGTACAAGATTCCAGTGAACTTCCAACAGTTCTGCTTCAAGTGACCTAGGAATGGAGTGAGTCATCTGTAAAGCCTGGAGTGGTCCAAATAACACAGATAACTTCAGTAACAGCTGGAAACGGCTGGCTCCAAATCAGGGAGAATACCCAATCTTCAGTGACAAGGAGGAAACAAAGTCCAAGCTTCTAAAACACGTAACGACAAGTCCAGGAACGTGGCCGAACATAATCCAAAAATGTGGGCTACAATGGGGAAAAATAAGAAGGGAAAAATAATTTATTTGTGTACAGAGTAGATGAGGTGAGGAGGTAGACGGGTTAATTAATATTAATACATCGTACATCTCTAAAATGCCTCCCACCATTTCAATAACCCTCAAGGTATTCCAAAAGATGTTCTGTACTTTTATCTATAACACAGATTTATTCAATTTAGATGCTTCACATAAAGCTTTTAAAGTCCAGTAAACTATATACAATTGCGTGGACTTTTGACCAATTTCTAAACAGGCACTATTTCTTTCTGCATCTTTTATTTTAGTACAGCCCACTTTTAGTACCTTAAAATCTAAATGGTAGTTAAGGATGATAAATATATACATGACAAATATATGTATGAATATATATATGACTAATACAAGGTTTAAAATTACTGAACTATCTAAAGGAGGAGCAGATGAAGCACTACAAAAGTTCAGAAATAGGAAAGAGAGGGAAGCAAGAATTTGAAAAATCTTCATGGAAGATGTGGCATCCAAACTGGATTTTGCTAGGAGAATAAAATCTAACATGTGGAATCTGGTTGACCAGGGACAGTCAAGAGCAATTAGTTCAGATGCACAAACTAGATTAACAGGAAATAAGGAGGGAGAGTTGAGGCAGCCTAACACAAACAGGGTACACAGAAAGAGGGGAAACTTTGGAGAGGCAACTGATTAATTTTATTATGGACATCTTCAGTTACAGGTGCCTATGAGAAATACCCAGGAAATATATCAAGAAGGCATCCCCTCTGAACCTGGAAAGTTGTAGGGATTGAATGACATCTTAGTAGGGCCACCAAATTTAGCAAATACAAGTACAGATGACTAGATGAACTTGAGACCAAACAACTGTATCTGCCGAATTTTTTGTAATTTACTGAAAAAGGCAAAATATAAGAATTTAGGGTATTCTAAGAAAGCCAATACAGGAAGCAGGGCAAAAGTATTAAATACAGGACATGTCCTATATAGACAAGAAGCCTGGCAATCCTACTTCTTAGGGTGTTTCCATCATGAAATTCTATCCATAACTATAAGCAGTACATTCAGCTAGTGCTAGTAGATCTAATTAACTAGATCATATCAATTAAATTAACCAGAGTGTTTGCTGGGAAATTCCTCAGTCTATGTCCTATACTATGTTACTTGAAAATAAAAGTCTTTAAAAAAAAAAAAGTATCCTCCTAAAATCTGTACCCATGTATAGCTAAAAACTAAAGTCCTAAGAATAAATGAAACATGAATATAATTACCAAAAAAAAAAAAAAACAACAACAAAAAAACAAAAAATAGAATCAAGAGAAATGAAAGGCATCTCAGTGTTATCCACTATTTTTACATGAGTTTATTTAGAAGAAAGAGGCTAAAAAAAAGGCTATGTTTTAGGTGGTGGTAGTAGGGACATACACGGCATTAGGAAAACCCTGGAGAATATTTACAGTTCCGGGAGACAGAAAATTAGAAGGGGCTAAAGAAAAAGCACTAGAAGAAGAAAACCAAAAACTAGGGGAGTTAAACATGAAGAAAACTTAAAAAAAGGAAAAACTTCAAGTACAAAATCAGACAATACACTAAAGCTTTTACGACTCATTTCCCTCTCTTTGACACTAATTCATCATCATCTCCACCACTACCCTCCTCAACATTGCCCACCGACTCTCATCATCAGAGGACAAACAGGTTCTTTTGCACACCAACCAGACTGGTGACTCACATTTTTCAGAGGACAGTGCTGACGTGCATACCACTCTTGAGAATAAAAGCAGAGTATGACTCCGTTGCCCAAGAAAAGAGAAGTCCACATCAGAACATTCCAAATTGGCTTTTTCCGACTATCATTGACAATGAAGTTGAAAGCCACTAAAGACAGGAAGGCAACAAAGAAATATACAGTTATCAGAGGTCAGAAGTTCGAGACCAGCCTGGCCAGATGGGAAAACCCCATCTCTATTAAGTATACAAAAATCAACCGGGTGTGGTGGTGTGTGCCTGTAATCCCAGCCACTTGGGAGGCTGAGGCAGAAGAATCACTTGAACCCAGGTGGCAGAGGTTGCAGTGAGCTGAGATTGTACCACTGCTCTCCAGCCTGGGTGATGAGAGTGAAACTCTGTCTCAAAGAAAACAATAAACAAAAGAAATATACAGTTATCAAAACATAATTTATTAGAAGAGGAGGGGCCTCAGATATCTGCTGTTATCATCTAATAATCACAGTATCAACTGTTTATATATACATATATATATATTTTATTCTGTTCACTGTTTCTATAAGGAAAAATAAAGCTCCAGTGTTAAAATCAGTTAACTAACAAGAAATCAGTGTTTTCAGAACATGTGTATATAAATTTCATGGAATTAGAATATTCATATTCTAACTTTTCCCTCTTACTTAAAAAATGGTCAGTTTTCCAGGGGATGCATACTGACAATGTTTATGAATGGGAAAGCTGTTTACATATGTAACTTCCATGACCTACCAAATCGGCGTCATCAATGGTCTTCATGAGATTACCTAGTTCACTTCCCTACTTCAAAGTGTAAATATCTGGAGATGGAACTGTGTATAATTATTCAAAGTCAATATTCTGACCATCTGATAAACAAGTACTACCTGAAAATGTTACTACTACTAACTAGTTCCCCTACATTGATTAGAATCTATTTGGTTTTCTCTTTTAGCATAGTTAGTACCCAGTGCTCGCATGCCAAGATACTTACTTCCAAAGAACATGAAGAGCACAAAGAGCACGGGATAGAAAAAGCTCAAGCAAACAGCCAAGGCATATTCGTGCACTACAGCAGACACAGCAAAGACAGCCAACATGGCAGCAGATTTGAATCTCTTAGAGAAAAACTAAAGAAAAAAAAATTACAAAGTACTTTTAAAAATTTAAACCAAGCATGAACTACATAGTACGTAAAATTATCATATGCTAAAGGCATCTATTTAATTATATTTATACTTAATTTTCTAAGTCTACTCCTTAAATTAATCCAAGCCTATTAAAATAATTACAACTCATATATGTTTACAAACTTATTATTGTTCAAAGATCTACTTTCAAAAACATCAATACCTTATGTTTGTAAGTTATTATAATTGACAACATAGTTTTCCTATATAAATGAAACATACCAAATTTCAGTCTTTAGAGTAACATTGTATGGCAGATGAGGCAAGTGTCCTCTCCCATTTTATACGTAACAAAACTAAGATTTCAAAAGGAGACAGGGCTTGCCTTACCCATATGTGAAACTACACTTGAATGACAGAAGTAGCACTCAAATATTAACACAATGCTATTTGCACCAAAAGATGTTATCACTGCCGGGCGCGGTGGCTCAAGCCTGTAATCCCAGCACTTTGGGAGGCCGAGGTGGGTGGATCACGAGGTCAAGAGATCGAGACCAACCTGGTCAACATGGTGAAACCCCGTCTCTACTAAAAATACAAAAAATTAGCTGGGCATGGTGGCGCATGCCTGTAATCCCAGCTACTCAGGAGGCTGAGGCAGGAGAATTGCCTGAACTCAGGAGGCGGAGGTTGCGGTGAGCCGAGATCGCGCCATTGCACTCCAGCCTGGGTAACAAGAGCGAAACTCCATCTCAAAAAAAAAAAAAAAAAAAAAAAAAGATGTTATCACTAAGCCAAATGGTGCCCTCACTTAATAAAAACTGTAATCCAGATACCAGTGTTAATCAACCAGGAGATTCAAGATTACATCTCATCAAAGTACATTCTGCTCTAAAGAATATCTCAAAGCCAGGTGTCACTGATTGGAGAGATATAAATCCACACAAAGGTATTTCTCACAGAAAAGGGTTTCTCTATCTTTAACAAAGAAAAACAAATGAAAAAGACCAGAGGGAGATTATTTGTTGGCAATGAAATTCCTAAGAAATTATCCTTTTCACCAAATCCTTGCCTTTTTGGTATTTTGGCTTCCAGGTATACTGGATTTGAGTAACCTATGAATTTAAACTTAAACTCTGTACAAATAAAACATTGCCTTGACTTTCTTAAAAAAAAAAAAAAAAAAAAAAAAAGAAAGAAAAGAAAAAAAAAAGAAATTATCGATTATGGGTGGATCACTTCAGCTCCTCCAATGACCTCCATGCACTCTTACATTGTTATGTAAGATAAAATCCAAAGCAAAGACACAGTTTTAGACCTACTACTGTACACAGTGGTTTCTAAGCAATACTAAAATAAGGTTTCCAGACCTAAATAACTCAAAAGAAAACTGAAAAGATACTATCACCCTTTCATCATGAGCAATCCAGTGTAACTTCTTCCAGCTGTATAATACTAATACTTTCTGAAAAATAATCTCCATTTCTTAAATAACATCAACTTAATCTTGCTGCTTACCCAGAGAAAGTCCTTGTAAGCATAGTAATACAGCCAGTCATGGACAACTACATTCCAGGTTCTGTAATAGTTAGAGTATGATGTGGAGTTCCACCAATCCTGAGGGAAAAAGTAAAGGTATAAAACACACACACATGCTCCAAAAGCAAAACCTCTGACTTTCCCAAAGAACACATGTAGCAGAAAAACCAGAGTATATTGTGATAAACTGTTGGTTCATATACTGATGACAGAAAAATCTTCAAAGGCATTTTGGTTATTAGTGTTGAATATGACATGAATTCTCATACTAAATATGATTAAGTTACTAGGTTCATGCAGAAGACACAGAATCATTTAAATCTACTGCTCATCTAAACAGCAGTAGTAAAACCCACCCCGCTTACCTTGCTAGAATGTCATGAGAAAATTCTATGGTCATGAAGACCAGATAGAGTGCTAACACTAGACAGCTGTTTGGTGATTATCATAACTGGCAAAATTTAAGTTACCCAAACAGTGAGATTGTGGCTACCTCAAAGTCCTGGTGTCTCTATATATGTATTTCTTGCTCCCAATTTTAAGATCAGATGAATAAAATCAGATATCTAAAATCTGCAATCCACACTTAGTGTTTCTTTGAGAAAAAAGTTGGTAGACTTAGAGTGTTGCCAATAACAACCAAAACTCAAAGAGAACTTTAGGTAGGGTCATAGGCCGGGCGTGATGGCTCACGCCTATAATTCCAGCACTTTGGGAGGCTGAGGTGGGTGGATCACGAGGTCAAGAGATGGAGACCATCCTGGTCAACATGGTGAAACCCCGTCTCTACTAAAAATACAAAAATTAGCTGGGCATGGTGGCGCGTGCCTGTAGTCCCAGCTACTCGGGAGGCTGAGGCAGGAGAATTGCTTGAACTCAGGAGACGGAGGTTACGGTGAGCCGAGATCGTGCCATTGCACTCCGGCCTGGGTAACAAGAGCGAAACTCTGTCTCAAAAAAAAGAAAAAAAACAAAAACAAAGGAGGGATAAGTTATTTCCCTCATGAACTGCTCAGTTGTCTTAAATGGAATAATTTGCTGAGGTCATTCCTACAGAACTAGACAGTCCATTTCAAATGAATGAACACTCAGGGAAGTCTCACGGTGTGCTCTGAACAAACACTTTCCTACCGTAATCACCAATATATCCTCGAAGGATCCAGCAAAAACCATGTGCTTATGTTAAGAGAGCAGATATCAGAGACTGAAGAAAACACAAGGCTATGCTAGTTATATCTATAACTGAATTTTAGATAATAATTGGCAAAATTTGTAGAAAAGAACATTATTTCACAATGTTTGTGTGAAAGGTTGGTGACATTAGCCAACAACGTTGAAATACTTAATGAGGAAGATGATAAAATGCGAAAAGAAAGCTAAGTCTGAATATGTACTACCTTATAGAACATCCTGTCACCAAAGCGTAGCATCTCAGCAAAGGCATTGAGCCAGCAGTGCAAAAAGGCAAAAAAAGTAAGGAACAGAATCAGCACACCTAAAAATAAGATAAGCAATATTAACAGTCTTTCCAAATAGCTCACAAGCCAAGCAACTAATTATATGTCATTATTTGTCTAGCTGGGATTATAAAATATAAGTTATTTCAGTTTATGCATTCCAGGGATGATATACTTTTGGAGTTAATTATCTGAATTTTAAAATAGTACTTTCCTTGAAAGTGGGTTCAACAAATGACAGATGACCCAGTCTGTTTTTAAGAAATGCCTAGATACATGGCTTAACTTGGTACCCAAGGCCCTTTAAAACTCTGGCCCCCATGCCCCCATCTTAAACAGCTGTTTAAAACTGGGAGAGATTTTGCGCCCCCCACCCCCCCGCCACCAAAAGGACATTTGAAATTGTAGACACTTTTTATTTTTAAGCAACAGGGTCTCACTATGTTGCCCAGACTGGACTCTAACTCCTAAGCTCAAGTGATCTTCCCACCTCAGCCTCCAGAGTAGCTGGGCCTACTGGTGCAAGCCACTGTACCAGTGCTGTGACAACCAGAGGAAAAGGGAGTTGTGCCCCTGGTATCTAGTTATAAGAGGCCAGGACGCTGCTAAACAGTTTATGCTACAATGCAGAAGAGTGCCACTCCGAAGAACTAACCAGTCCAAAATATTAATAGTAACATGGTTAACACAGTGACACGGATAACATTCTAAACATATCTCCAATGACTCTACCCTCTAAGTGCTGTAAACATCATCCACACCTGGTTTATGCCATTCCAGAATGCTCCATGCCCTTGCATCCATCCCACTACCTAGAATGACCTTTGCACCAATCTCTACCAGAAAAATACCTATTTTTCAATTCTCAATATCAAATGTTATCTCTAATATAAAACAAAGTCCATAAGCATTTTGCTTATACTACCTATATAGTACATATTACACTATGTTGTCAAACATCCATTTATATGTCCACCCCTTCACCCATTTATTTAAAAAGATATATTTACGGAGCACCAACTATGTACCAGACAATATGAGAGACTGACTATAAAACACAATCCTTGATCTTAATAACTTTACAGCCTAGGGAGGAAGACACTCGAGTATGTAACACATACTCTATTTTAGGGACAGCCAGGAAGGGTTACTAGAAGAGGAATGCAAGAGAATAAAGAAAGAGAAGGTGATAACAGAAAACATTACCAACATTTAGGGGGTAAAGAAAAGAAGAAAAGTTAGGCCGGGCGCGGTGGCTCACGCTTATAATCCCAGTACTTTGGGAGGCCGAGGCGGGTGGATCACAAGGTCAAGAGATTGAGACCATCCTGGTCAAAATGGTGAAACCCTGTCTCAACTAAAAATACAAAAAAAAATTAGCTGGGCATGGTGGCACACGCCTGTAGTCCCAGCTACTCGGGAGGCTGAGGCAGGAGAATTGCTTGAACCCAGGAGACAGAGGTTGCGGTGAGCCGAGATCGCGCCATTGCACCACTCCAGCCTGGGTAACAAGAGTGAAACTCTGTCTCAAAAAAAAAAAAAGAAAAAGAAAAGAGGAAAAGTAAGGGAAACCATAAAACACAAGCTCCCAGAGTGTAAACATTATACGTGTCTTGTTCACTGCTGAGTCCTCTGCACCTGGAATAGTACTAGGTACTCATACATCTCTACAATAGACAAAAAAGAATGCAACAAATAAATTTAAGAAATCGAGGTATGGCTGGTAGACAGGAGGAAAATAAGAAATAGTGGCAAGAGGCCAAGCATGGTGGCCCAAGCCTGTAATCCCAGCACTTTGGGAGGCTGAGCCCAGGAGATTGAGAATGGGCTGGGCAACACAGGGATGCACCATCTCTATAAAACTAAAAACTTAGCCAGGCATGGTGGCATGCACCTGTAGTCCCAGCTACTGAGGTGAGAGGATCACTTTAGCCCAAGAGGTCAAGGCTACAGTAAGCCGTGATCACACCATTGCATTCAGACTGAGTGACAAAGAGAGACCCAGGAGACCCAGTTTCAAAAAAAAAAAAAAAAAGAAAATAGTGACACGAGAGATTTCAAAATGCGGTCAGCAGCATCCAATGCTTCATGGAGGTCACCTTAATCCATCCACTGGATTAAGAAACTGGAGGTTACTAGTAATTTCAACAAAGGGTATTTAAGTGCCTTTGTGGAATCAGGAGCAAGATTACAATAAACTGAATAGTGAACAGGAAGACACAGCATCAATGTGGACTATCCATCGTCACAGAAAGCACAGCCTGACTGAAAGCCAGAAGATGAAAGACTGACCTGAGACTGGAAGAAGGACACTTCATGGCCGGGCTCAGTGGCTCACACCTGTAATCCTAGCACTCTGGGAGGCCTAGGCAGGTAGATCACCTAAGGTCAGGAGTTTGAGACCACCCTGGCCAACATGGTGAAACCCTATCTCTAATTAAAAAAAAAAAAAAATACAAAAAAAAAAAAACTTAGTGGGGCATGATGTCATGCACCTGTAATCCCAGCTACTCAGGAGGCTGAGGCAGGAGAATCACTTCAACCCCAGAGGTGGAGGTTGCGGTGAGCCGAAATTGCACTACTGCACTCCAGCCTGGGCAACAAAGCAAGGCTCTGTCTCAAAAAAAAAGAAGGATACTTCATTTATAAAGTAGATGCAAAATAGGTCAAGATGGGTATAGATGTACAGAAGTCTAGACAAAGAAGTAGGCAAAACAAAGGTGCTCATAGGCAAATAGCTTTCTATTTTCCTCGTGAATTTGGGCATGACCAAATTAATAAGTACCCATGATACCTGGCAAGATGGAGTTAAATACACAGAGGACCAGAACACGAGCGCTGAAGGGCTCCTGTTTGATATTCCGAAACAAGGGGGCACAAAGTCTTTCAAAGATGTAGTACACATAGAAAAAGCAACCGAAGACCTGGAACATAACAGAGATAGAATTATAATAATGATGGCTTGATCAGGCGGAAGGCAATTTTTTCCTCCAAAAGAAAGTGCATATGTCACCCTTAAAGTAACATTCGAATATGTATTCCACTTAACACTAGTATATAAATAAGCCTAGTTTCTACCATCACTTTTCCTAACCCTTTACCAAATGATACTTTTAAAAGAGCTTACTCTTAGGACCTGTTTTTCCTGCTGCTTAACACTTCTAATATGGGCTGGGCACAGTGGCTCACGCCTGTTATCCCAGCACTTTGGGAGGCCAAGGCGGGCAGATCACAACATCAGTAGTTCCAGACCAGCCTGACCAATAAGGTGAAACCCCGCCTCTACTAAAAATACAAAAATTAGCCTGGCATGGTGTTGCATGCCTATAGTCTCGGCTATTCAGGAGGCTGAGGCAGAAGAATCACTTGAACCTAGGAGACGCGGAGGTTGCAGTGAGCCTAGATCGTGCCACTGCACTCTAGCCTGGGTCACAGAGTGAGACTCTATCTCAAAACAAAAAAACAAAACTTATTATATGGCTGGGAGCAGCCGCTCAGGCCTGTAATCCCAGCACTTTGGGAGGCTGAGGCAGATGGATCACCTGAGGTCAGGAGTTTGAGATCAGCCTGGCCAACATGGTAAAACCCCATCTCTACTAAAAATACAAAAATTAGCCGAGCATGGTGGCAGGCACCTGTAATCCCAGCTACTTAGGTGGCTGATGAAGGAGAATCACTTGAACCAGGGAAGCAAAGAATGCAGTGAGCCAAGATTGCACCATTGCACTTCAGCCTAGGTGACAGAGTGAGACTTCATCTCAAAAACAACAACAACAACAACAACAACAACAAAAAACCCATAACCGAAGAACTTATTTCACATAAATGGGCATTTGATTGAGACACAAACTTAAAATGGGATCTATCTTCCAGGATCAATGGTTCTGATGGAGGTGGAAGGGAAAAATGGGGAAGCGTCAGACCATACCCACATACATATACACCTTCCTCAAAAAACAGGAAGGAAGGGGGAAATTTATGCTTACTGAAATAACCAATTCCAATTACTTTATAAAATAATACATTCTTTCATTAAAGAAAATTACTTTTGATGTTGGCAAAATAAACACCATTTACTGTACTGGAAATAGTTTAAAAGACTGCATACTGTCAACAGAAAGCATTCTTAGCTACCAGTAGATTTAAGTAGATTATATTATTATCATAAACATGAATCCCCATCTCCTAATCAACATGCCTTAGGCAGTCACAAAAACTTACCTGTGCAAATTGCATAGCAACATAACCCCATCTTACAGTGGGAGTCCTGAAAAAGAAGAAACAAAAATAAGTTTTCTAAATAAAGTAAGAAATTGAAAAAAGACTCACCCTCACAATTAGTGTTTTTTGGCCAGGCGCAGTGGCTCACACCTGTAATCCCAGCACTTTGGAAGCCAGTGGTGGGCAGATCACCTGAGGCAAGGAGTTCAAGATCGGCCTGGCCAATATGTGAAACCCTGTCTCTACTAAAAATACAAAAAAACTAACCAGGCGTGGTGGCGCACACCTGTAATGCAAGCTACTCAGGAAGCTGAGGCAGGAGGAATCGCCTGAACCAAGGAGACAGAGGTTGCAGGGAGCCAAAATCGCACCACTGCACTCCAGCCTGGGTGACAGAACGAGACTCCGTCTCGGAAAAAATAAATAAATAAATAATGGTTTTACACACAGAACATCATTTATGACCATATAAAATACTTTGTAATTCTGTCAAGAATTACTATAATCTATTAGACTTCTCTAATCACCATTTAAGGCTTCCCAGGCCAGACAAAAAATGAAAACTCATTCTCTATTTTCTATGTCCCTACATGGCCTGGCCCTTGCTTACCCACCCTGCCTCACTCATGCCACACTTCTGGTGCTTACCACATTCCTGCTTCATAGTGCCATTACCTGGGATAGCTGTCACGGTAGATAAGGGTAGGAGCAAATAAGAAGTACAAATACTGGTTGACTGTAGGTATTGGAATAGTGCCTAGAAAAGGAAAACCATGGTTAGATCAGAGGCTCTTTGATTTTTCACAGCAAAAATAGAGAGGGGAAAATAAGGAAGCACAGAACAGGGAAGAATACAATAATTTATCAGCTCATGTTCTTTTTTCCTGGTCTCCTGAATGGTTTCTTATTCTTGTACTAAATGAGTATTACCAATCTCTTTAAACCCAGTCATTCCTGTGACTGGGATAACTTCTAGAGTGTGAAGCAACAATTTGCAAAGAATAGGCAGACACAGGTGTAATGGGGCTATTAACATTCCATAAAAATAATGCAAAGTTACAAAAGATCATCAATTTTTTAAAATTGTAGGTTCAAGGGCAAAGAAGGAATACTCAGGAAACAAGTAGTCCTCAAAATCAATGGATCATACGTATTTGAAATCAAACACAATCTCTACATCATATAATGTGACATCCCAGTAAACAACAAAGGGTGACTATCCAGTCAATAATCCTCTAGCTAATGAAATTACACAAGGAAAGAAAAGAAAGGAAAAGAGACAGAAAGAATGAGAGAAAGAAATTACATACTAGATTTCTCCTTAGCTGAATTTAGTACCCGAGGCACGTTCTCTCTGACAAAGGAGTGGGCCTTCATTACAAAACGAATCTACAAAAGAAAGAGGAAAAAGATGTCTGCTCAGAGAAAGTCTCCTGCAAGTGTCCCTTCTATTAGTCAAACACATCACAGCCAGCCAATAAAATCAGAAAATCCTGACGAATATATAAACAAATTAAAATAAATCCTTTATTTAGATGAAAATCGTTACATGACAAAACAATGAATCTGACATTTCAAAAGTGTTTTTAATTACAAAAATATTTTATAATTTAAGTGACTTTTACAAAAAGTATTCAGGAACAAAATCTTAATGCATCAAAAACCGTTCAATGTAATTTACTTCATTTCTCAAAAATTCAGAGAACATGGAAGCTAGAATGAAACTTAAGAGATGAGATGATACTAGTTGAACAATTTTACAGATAATGACACCAAGAACAATATATGAAAATCTATCCAAGTTAATACAGCTAAAAATAATAGTATCAGTCTGTCATCATCATTATTATTTTAGCTGAGCGAATAGCATCGCTTTGGGTAACACTTAAAATCTTACCTGCTCGAATATAACAATGAACCGGGAAGCTGGTGGCAGTGTGTATGCTAAGACAACGTAGGTTGGTCCAAAACCTAGAACTCCAATCTGGAAGACCATGAAAAGAAAGCCATGGAAGAGGGAATGGATCAGTGGATGAGAACTCCTGCTGTAGCCAGTGGCCCAACATTGAAACAGAAAATACGGAACTGAAAATGTAGACAGGAACATGATCCACCAGGTCCAAACAACAGTAGGAAATTTGCCAAAAGCGTAAGACAGGAGACTGAACTCAAGCACCAGCCTGGGGAGAAAAGGTACAGAAAAAGAACATAGAGGTGAATTTTTAATACACACTGAGTTCACAGAATTTAAAACTTTCTAACACCAAACTTTCAACGTTAGGAAACACTACAACATTAATATGTTGAAGTCATGGATTTGTAATAGTTCTGCTAGACAGAGGTCTGCTTCTAACCCTCTGCTTCACAATATATCTCAACATGTATCAACAGTATATAGTGTTTAGAAATAAGTTTTCTAAAAGCCCTAGGATAAATACAGTCCTCAAACAAGATATCTAAGATAACTAGACTTTGAACTTCTGAAAGGTTAGATTCTCACATTAATATTTTTAACTCTAAAATATTCTATGTAAAATATTCAAACAGCAATCATTCTTATGTACAAAAGATGGTTTTTCAGAATAGGCACAATTCAAAAACCTGTTAATATATTATACCATTATCTCAAAATTTAATTTTCAAAAATAGTACATAATTCAATTCACGATTATCATACTGTCATTTTTTTTTTTTTTTGAGACGGAGTTTCGCTCTTGCTGCCCAGGCTGGAGTGCAATGGCGCGATCTCGGCTCACCGCAACCTCCGCCTCCTGGGTTCAGGCAATTCTCCTGCCTCAGCCTCCTGAGTAGCTGGGATTACAGGCACGCGCCACCATGCCCAGCTAATTTTTTGTATTTTTAGTAGAGACGGGGTTTCACCATGTTGACCAGAATGGTCTCGATCTCTCGACCTCGTGATCCACCCGCCTCGGCCTCCCAAAGTGCTGGGATTACAGGCTTGAGCCACCGCGCCCGGCTCATACTGTCATTTTTTAAGGTACAGTTTGGTTTTAAAATTTTTATTTTGAGGGCCGGGCGCGGTGGCTCACGTCTGTAATCCCAGCACTTTGGGAGGCCGAGGCGGGTGGATCACGAGGTCAAGAGATCGAGACCATCCTGGTCAACACGGTGAAACCCCGTCTCTACTAAAAAAAATACAAAAAATTAGCTGGGCTGGATGGCACATGCCTGTAATCCCAGCTACTCAAGAGGCTGAGGCAGGAGAATTGCCTGAACCCAGGAGGCGGAGGTTGCGGTGAGCCGAGATCGTTTGTACTCCAGCCTGGGTAACAAGAGCAAAACTCTGTCTCAAAAAAAAAAAAAAAAAAAAAATTTATTTTGAGACCAGATCTTGCTTTATCACCCAGGCTGGGGTAAAGTGACACAAACACAGCTCCACTGCAGCCTCAGCCTCCCTGGCTCAAGCAATCCTCCCATCTCAGCCTCCTGAGTAACTGGAACTACAAGTGCGTGCCACCATTCCTGGCTAATTTTTAAATTTTTTGTAGAGATGTTGCACAGGCTGGTCTCGAACTTCTGAGCTCAAGTGATCCTCCCTCCTCAGCCTCCCAAAGTGCTGAGATTACAGGCATGAGCCTTCATGCCTGGCCTACAATTTGACTTTCATATTAAAAAGAAATATCAACATTTTCAACCTTCAGTTCCAATAAGCTACCTGTTTTAAGCAACCATCTTAAAGACAATCAAAAGGTGAATAAATCATATGCAGTTATCCTTTCCTATACATGGGGGATTGGTTCCAGGAAAGCATGCAGACCCCAAAACCTACACAAATTCAAGTCCCACAGTTGGCCCCGTAGAACCCACATATATGAAAAATCTGCCATTCTTACTATGTGTGTTTTGCATCCTGGAATACTGCAGATCCCATCTGCCTTTGCTTACAGATGTAGAACCCACAGATACAGAGTGCTAAACATATTGACTGAAAAACTTCCGCATCTAAGTGAACATACACAGTTCAAACCTGTGTTGTTCACAGGTCAACCGTGTACAAAGTTCTCCCATTTTTACCTAGAAACTACTGATTACGGTCTATTAAAACAAACTATTTTAAAAATAAAAGTAATGAAATTTCTAATTTTCTCATCAGTCAAACTTTTCAGGGCAGAGGACTATCACCCTCAAATCTGCTGCTTTAGGATTTCCTGAAGCAAATTTAACCAATTTACCCTTTACCAAAATTTCATGAAAAACCCGAACTTCTCATGCATCAACTAGCCAGCAGTCCTTTGTGTTGTCTTACCTTCCTTCATCAATGTAATCTACTACAAGTGTGCTGAGGATAAAGAGAATGAGGAGGGCAATAAACATATGATATATCGTTCTGATGTGGTCCACTTCAAGCAGCTCACTGTGAATGTAGTTCAAACAAAACAAATTAATAATCTATATTTAAATTCAAAACACCATAGTCTTATACTTACCTGGCAGGGGAGATACCATGGTCACAAAACACCATAAAACCTTTTCTTAAAGCAGTTTAGAAGATGCTTAATCCACTCTCCAAAAACAGCTCAAAAAAGAGTGGTCTACATTCTTTAAAACCTACCAGAAATGGATGGTTTCTAGGTAAACAAAGGTCATTCACTAATAACAGGAAACACAAAAACTAGGTAAAATGCTAAGAATTTTTTTAATCCTATACATACATTCTACTCTCCAAATTTAATACATATTAAGTACTATTTCCAAAAGGTTAAAATTGACATGAATTTCTTTTCTTTTTTTTTTTTTTAAAGGTGGAGTTTCACTATATTGGTCTGGCTGGTCTCGAACTTCTGACCTCAGGTGATCCACCTGCCTCAGCCTCCCAAAGTGCTGGGATTACAGGTGTGAGCCACTGCACCAGGCAAGAGCTTTTTTTTTTTTTTTTCTTTGAGACAGAGTCTCACTCTGTCACCCAGGCTGGACTGCAGTGGCTCAATCTCGCTTCACTGCAACCTTCGCCTCCTGGGTTCAAGTGACTCTCCTGCCTCAGCCTCCAAGTAGCTGGGATTACAGGCACATGCCACCATGCCTGGCTAATTTTTGTATTTTTTGTAGAGACAGGAGTTTCACTATCTTGAACTCCTGACCTCTTGATCCACCAGCCTCGTCCTCCCAAAGTGCTGGGATTACAGGCATGAGCCACCAAGTCCAGCCAATAAATATTTTACATCTGACCAAAACAAGTTTTTCAATTTATTTTAACTAGATTAAAAAACAGGTTTTTAAACTTGTTTTAACTAGTTAACAAACAGGTTTTTCAACTTGTTTAATTTGTTTCTGGAATGATAAGGCTAACCTTTTAAATGATTGAATAATCTAATATGCTACTCAGTCTCTGGACTAAGGATCTTCACATCCTAATAAAAACCTATCAGAGGGGGAGGCGGAACGGGAGAAAAAAAAAAAACCTATCAGAGCCATAGAAAACTATTCTATTTCCTTGGTTAAAACTTTTTTTGAGTTAATGTAATGTTGCTTATTTTTCATATATAAATTCTATCATTAAAATCCTTTTTTTTTTGAGGGTCTCGCTCTTGTTGCCCAGGCTGGAGTGCAATGGCATGATCTTGGCTCGCTGAAACCTCTACCTCCTGGGTTCAAGTGATTCTCCTGCCTCAGCCTCCTGAGTAGCTGTGATTACAGGCATTCGCCACCACACCTTGCTAATTTTTTAATACTTTTAGTAGAAAGCCTGCATTTTCCCCAGATACAAATTTTAAAAGACAAATTCCTTCAAATTATAGTGTGACAGAACACTGAACACTGAACATTACACACTTAGAAAACCGGCCTTCTTATCTAGGTGAAGTCATAAACATCAATTTGACTCACGGAAAGTAACTTTTGATAAGCATAAGGTGTCTTTTTAAAGAGAAGTATACTTTTTTTTGAGACAGAGTCTTGCTCTGTCACCCAGAGTGGAGTACAGCGGCATGACCTCAGCTCACTGCAACCTCCACCTCCCAGGTTCAAGCAATTCTCCTGCTTCAGGCTCCCAAGAAGCTGGAATTAAGGCACCTGCCACCAAGCCCAGCTAATTTTTGTAGGCTCACGCCTGTAAATCCAACACTTTGGGAGGCCGAGGTGGGTGGATCATCTGAGAGTCAAGTTCAAGATCAGCCTAGCCAACATGATGAAACTGTCTCTACTAAGAAAAGTACACTATAACACACTTAATGTGTCACCAACCCAACCATTTCAGATGATCCATACTAATACAGGTTAAATTTCAGCAGTATTTTATTAAATGAGTGTATGAATAAATTACTCAGAGAACATTAAAAAAATATTCATCAGCTACCCAAAGTACACCTTTAATTTTATTATTATTATTAATAGAGATGGGATCTTTCTCTGTTGCTCAGGCTGGAATGCAGTGGCACAATCTCAGCTCACTGCAGCCTCTACCTACTGGGCTCAAGTGATCCTCCTGTCTCAGACTCCCGAATAGCTGGGACTACAGGCATACACCACCATCCCTGGCTAATTTTTTGTATTTTTTGTAGAGAGAGTCTTGCCATGTTGCCCAAACTGGTCTTGAACTCCTGGACTCACAATCTGCCTGCCTCAGGCTCCCAAAGTGCTGGGATTCCAAGTGTGAGTCATGGTGCCAAGCCCAGATAACCATTCTTATTCCTTAACTCCTCTTTTGAAACTAGATACAGAACTGGAAGATCAGAAAGGAGCAAGAGAGAGCATACAACAAAAAAACTAATGATTTATACAGATACAAACAGAACAAACTCATTATATATTCATAGATTAAGCAATGATTCTTTCAGAATAGCTTTTTTAAAAAAATTCAAACATTTAAAAACAACTAAAAATACTCACTCTAAGAGAGATCGCCTTGCAATAAAAATCTTTCCTTGTTCTGGAGGTGCTCTCAAATCCCTGAGAAGAGAAAAAATTAAAACAAGATGTAAGTACTTCAAGTATTGTAAGAAATCTAATTCCACAAACAAGAGAATATTACCAACAACATCATCTAACATTAATTGACCAGTGACCTTTTCACTACTGATTCAAGTACCGTGTTACAGATATTATGTATGTTATTTCATTTACTCCCTCGGAACAATGCTGTGAGTTAGGTATATGCAAACTATCAAGAATGGAAGGGTCGCCACAGCCAGCTCCTATGGACTTCGGCAACCACTCTTCTTTCTTGTAGAGATCCCCTGAGGTCATAGGCCTACAAGCACACTCACTCCAGGTCATATATACTGTTATTGAGCTGTCTTATGAAACTGCACTGGTGTTTTTGATACCCTTTCTGATATCAAAGGACTTCCAGCAACTCCCAACAGCCTCCTGATCTTAAAGGTTGCTGTGAGTTACTACAACCCCCCATTTTACAACTTGCATTACCATCTTCTTCAGGGCTTTTCGTGCTACTACCAGCACTTAACTATTACTAGTCAAAACTATTCTTGAGAACATCACTCTATGCCTCTGAACAGGGGCGTGAAACTGAGAAGAGCATGGAATGGCAAACTGGCACACATTAGCCTTTGATAGCCTTCACTCGATTATTCTGGATGAACCAACAATTAGAAAAGTATATACTAATCGCACTGTACTTTATTACAGTATTGTATAGAATACAACAGAGAGGAACATGGTGATAAGATTAAGAGCAAGGACTTGGCCAGGAATGGTGGCTCATACCTGTAATCCCAGCACTTTGGGAGGCCGAGACAGGTGGATCCTGAGGTTAGGAGTTCAAGACCAGCCTGGCCAACATGGTGAAACCCTGTCTCTACTAAAGTTACAAAAAATTAGATGGGTGTGGTGGCATGCACCTGTAGTCCCAGCTACTCAGGAGGCTGAGGCTGGAGAATCGCTAGAACCTGGGAGGCAGAGGTTGTAGTGAGCCGAGATCCCGTCATTGCACTGCAGCCCAGACAACAGGGTGAGACTCCATCACAGAAAAAAAAAAAAAAAAAAAAGGAAAAAAGAAAAAGAACAAGGACTCTAGAGTCAGACTCTGGGTTCAAGTCCCTGCTATGTAATAATCCTGGACAACATTTAGTTAAGTACTCTGTGCTTTAGTTTCCTAATCTGTAACATGTGGATAGTTACAGCATCTGTCTCAGAGGATCACTGTTTGGTTTAAATGAATTCATCATGTAGAGCGCTCAGCAAGTGTTGGCTCTGTTATTTTATTAGTCTTTTTTTTTTTTTTTTTTTTTTTGAGACAGGGTCTCTGTTGCCCAGGCCAGAGTGCGGTGGCATGATCTTTGCTCACTGCAACCTCTGCCTCCCAGGTTCAAGCGATTCTCATGCCTCAGCCTCCTGAGTAGCTGAGACTACAGGTGTGTACCACCACACCCGGCTAATTGTTGTAATTTTTGGTAGAGATGGGGTTCAGCATGTTGGCCAGGCTAATCTCAAACTACTGACCTCAAGTGATCTACCCACCTCGGCCTCCCAAAGTGCTGAAATTACAGGCATGAGCTACTATGCTTGACTTTATTAGTAGTCAGTCTTAAAAGAGGTATGCATGTATGTTATAATTCATACATAAAGACAAAGAAAACCCACCCTCCAAGTGGTTAAACAACTTTCCGAATGCAACACACAACCAATAAAAAGTGGCACCGGGGTGTGAATTCAAGCATATTTGCTACAGTCCATTTTGACCATTGAACTATAGTAGGTAGATGTTTGCATTAAAAAAAAATAGTAACACATACTTACTTTGCTCTATGGTTGTTTTTTTCTCCTTCAAGAACAGAAAAGGTTGTGAGAGCACACCCACCATTATCTAATGATGCCGATTTTTCAATGAGATTGGTCACAAAATCATCAAAGTGACTTCCAACTTCCTTCATAAAAAATGGCTTCAATTCCTAGAATTTAAAAAAAAAGAAAAACATGGGGAACTAATACATGCTTATGAGTCACTAACATTTCTCTAAAGGGCTCCCTTAAACAGAGCTGGAAAAAAAGCAAGTCATAGTGAGTTCACAGGAATAAAAGCAAAAAAAATCGATTTCTGTATCTGACTTGTAGTTTCAGAAACAACTACCTAAAAAGCAACATAGTGATTTATATCCTTTTAAAATGTATAACCCTTATAAGCATAAAAAAAAATACCTCAGCCTCCCAAGTAGCTAGGATCACAGGTGTGTGCCACCACTCCCAGCAAATGTTTTTTATTTTTTGTAAAAACAGCATCTTCCTATGTTGCCTAGGCTGAACTCTTGGGCTCAAGCAATCCTCCTGCCTCAGCTTCCCAAAGTGTTAGGATTACAGGCATGAGCCACTGTAATTACCATGATTCTAAGTTCTCTTTTTTCTAATGTAATCCCTTCACCCACGAACCCACCATGTATATTTTAGACCATTTATTCCTCATATCTGCATTTATACAATGTTTATTTCTACCTCCGTAGCCAGATACTTAACCATAAAACATGCATATGTATACATAGTATAAACATGCATATTCATGATAGCGACTGGAGCCAGACAAATTCCTAGGCAGACAGGGGCAGGTCTCCACTGAAACCCAACCTTCAAACCAAAGACAAATTAAAGCCTGAAAACTGGACTTCCAGTTCCAAGTAAGGTCCATGACTGGAGTGAGAACTTCTATTCCTATTTGCCTATTCTTTCCTGATTGGTTATTTCTGAATAATGCTTTTTAACTAGTTGAATGTTGTCTTTTCCAAGGCTACCCACAGCCCGCATCTTCCACTTTCTGAGCCCATAAAAACTCCAGGTTCAGTCACACACTGGCACCACCTGCTTCTGGGTTCCCTCTCCTCCAAGAGCCATTCCATGACTCAACAAAACTCTTTTCTGCCATGCTCACTCTCCAACTGCCCACATAATCTCATTTTTCTTGGACATGGGACAAGAACTCAGGACTCCCAGAACAGCAAGTACGAAGGGAACTAGAACATGAACACGCTGCCACCCTTCTGAGGCCCTGACCTCAGGACTCCCCAAGCCAGAGCTATAACACACTGTAACAGCCTCTTTGGAGTTCTGTGGTTGCTAATGTCTCCAAGTTTTTTGGGTACCACCACATTCCCCTCATCCAGATGCCAGCACCTAAGGTGGAAACCATTTGCCATACACCTGGTACAGCTGCAGCCTCAAATGGAGGTGGCACCTGGAGCCACACACCCCACCTCAGCAACCAGCGCACCTGGCTTGCCCTTGATGGGTGTGAGATCCAGGCCAGTAGCGGAAGTTGAGCACAGCCTGCCAGAACAAGTGGGCAGGGCAAGTCCAGCGGCCAGCCTGGAGCCAAGTGAGGCCTGGGCAGGAGTGCTACCAGCTGCAGAAATTTCCAGCTGGCAAAGTGGCACCCCAAAATAGCCTGTGTCGTACACACATTACATGATTTTCATAAAACTGTTATATGTGTGTGTGTGTATATGGTTTATCTTACGAAAATGTGTGTGTATAATGGTTATACATTCTGATCTCACATGTTCTTTAAGTCTTAAAGCTTCAAATCCCAGTTTTTTTCGAAAAGTAGGAGGCAAAAAAAGATTCCTTCAGGTTATAATAGGTCACCTACTGTGGAAGTCCAAATTATAAATTTGGGCAATTTTTATTTGCAAGACTTACTATAAAGGACAACACAGTATTATTTACTAATTCTTCAAGAAAAAAAAATGCTTTTTTTCTTTGACTAACTCATTTAAGCGCAACTTAAAAGATCTGAAATAGCATATTTCTAGGTTCTGTTATACCAAAGAGTTTGACCAAGTCCTTTAAAAGTAAAGCTGAAAAATATCAATGTATGTAATTGGACTATATGAATGCTTTTCAAACAGTTCTGTTTCCCACATTTCCCAAATGCTTTTTGGGTCCTGGGCAGTGAGAATACACTAAGGTCCTAGCTCTCAAAAGAACAGGTGATGGAGTTGGAAAATATAAAAATAGGGCCGGCCATGGTAGCTCACGCCTGTAATTCCAGCACTGTGGGATGCCAAGGCAGGCGGATCACCTGAGCTCGGGAGGTCAAGACCAGCCTGGACACCAAGGTGAAACCCCACCTCTACTAAAATATAAAAAATTAGCCAGGTGTGGCCGGGCGCGGTGGCTCATGCCTGTAATCCCAGCACTTTGGGAGGCCGAGGCGGGTGGATCACAAGGTCAAGAGATCGAAACCATCCTGGTCAACATGGTGAAACCCCGTCTCTACTAAAAATACAAAAAATTAGGTGGGCATGGTGGTGCGTGCCTGTAATCCCAGCTACTCAGGAGGCTGAGGCAGGAGAATTGCCTGAACCCAGGAGGCAGAGGCTGCAGTGAGCCGAGATCGCACCATTGCACTCCAGCCTGGGTAACAAGAGCGAACCTGTCTTAAAAAAAAAAAAAAAAAAAATCAGCCAGGTGTGGTGGTGCGCACCTATAGTCCCAACTACTCAGGAGGCTGAGGCAGGGGAATCCCTTGAACCCAGGAGGTAGAGGTTGCAGTGAGCTGAGATTGTGCCACTGCACTCCAGCCTGGGCAACAGAGTAAGACTCCATCTCAAAAAAAAAAAAAAAAAAAAAGGAAGAAAGAAAAAAAGGAAACAAGGAGGCAGAGTTTAAGTCAGGGAAAACCTCAAAAATAAGAGGACATTTGGGAAGATCTGAAGAAGGTAAGAGGTTAAGTTAGTGGACATCTGTGGGAAACGTACCAGGAAGAAGGAAGCATGAGTGTAAAAAGTCCCTGAGGCAGGAACACCCTGGGCATGTTCAAGAAACAGCCGGGAAGGAGAACATCAAAGCTGAAGCAAAAAAGTGATAAGAGGTCAGAAAAGAATGGGGAGAAGGGTAGGGAGGGGAGTAAACCAGGCGATTACCCATACTCACGTCTCAGCCCATTCATTTTACTCTAAATTAAAAGAGAAGCCTAGAATCTTGAGATGTCGCCAAGGGAGTCAAGCCATTTCTTTTAGTTAGGAATCCTCAAACTCTGGTACCAGTCCCCTTCCCAACTAAGTATTAGGTTACACAGGCTAGAAGCATGAATGTAATGAATGAATATTATACAAATGTCAGTAAAGCTGCTAAAGACAGGCACTAATCCATCCAATGTCCACTGAAAAATAGTGAACTTCTCATGACACAAGCTCTTACGCCTTACTCATTACTCACAGATGAGCCTTCGGCATACTGTAGCTCCACCTTATCTGCAGTTCCACTTTCACAGTTCTAGCTAACTTCAGTACAGTATAGTAAGACACTTAGAGAGAGATCACACTGACATTAACTTTCACCGCAGTATATTGTTATTCTTGTTCCACTTCCCTTACTGTGCCAAATCTGTAAGTTTAACTGTGTCAGAGGTATGTGTGTAGAGGAGAAACAGCATATACAGGGTTTGGTAGTGTCCATGGTTTCAGGCATCCACTGGAGGTCTTGGAACATATCTCCCAAAGATAAGTGGAGGTTACTGTACATTCAACTCCCAACTTACACTCCTATGATAAGAAACCCCACAGCAAGCTCCTTACCCTCATTCTATATTGTACCTTTTTCTTTCCCCCTTCACCAATTTGCTTCCTCTTCTTCCCAGAATCCAGAACTTCTACCTTTTCTTCAGTCTACAAGTAAGGGTGTTCCTTTTTTTTTTTTTTTGAGTCGGGCGGGGCAGGAGGAAAGGATTCAAGGGTATCCCTTGTTATCCCAACCTACTATCCAATCTCAGGACCAAATAGATATGAGTAACAGGAGTACTTCCATGACTCAGCACCTAAGGTGGGGAACAAGATACATACAGCCCTGATCTTACTGTGCTTACTATCCATGAGGAAAGTGATTAAATAAGTTATGAATGGTGCAACAAATGCCATAAAGAAATGTAGAGTGACAGGAGAACAAAGAGAAAGTAACAGAATAGAAATTCCAGGCATTTCAATTGTGTGACAGCCACTATAACGTGGTGGGAGGTTCCCAGTGTTGTAAATTTCTTTCACACTTTCCCTCATCTACGACCCCAACCTCTGCCACCTCAGATGGTACAGAATATTGCTTAGAAGGTAACTATTTTAATAATATCAATTCACATCTTTTTTTTTTTGAAGTAACATTCATATGTGAATAGTTTAGGAATCCACATGTAAGACAAAATAACAAACAAAAAAAAGCCATATTTACTCATTTCTGCTACCAACACAATTTCACAAAATTCTTCACTCTATGATGATACACAGCTTTCCAAACACTTTAAAGACAAAATAAAACACACACTCCCCCCACATCTCTTGCCTAAATCACCATATTCCTTATAGATAATAACCCAATCCTTGCCTTTTCCTACAAATAAAATGATAGTGATTATACTTCTATAATCTATAATCAAATATATTCTTACACCCAAACCTTAATGTACCAAACGTAATGTAATTTTACATATATGAAATTTTACATATACAAAACCCCACCACCTACACATAAACAGTAGACTAAAATACAGTGCCAGGATAGTCTAACAAAACCTCTCTATAAGACTACTCCCAGGCTGCAGCCCCTGTCTACAGTTCTCAATAAGACTTCTAAATACAACAAACTTTAATTCTTAAAAAGCTTGATTTTCTTTAGTTTACAATCATGGTGCCTATGAAAGGACAGGGTCGTCTGGAGCATTGCAGGGAACTGGAGCCTTGTTATAGCATAGGCCCTGTGAGCCCCTCTGGCTCCAACATGGTTGCAGACGACTGCGTGAGCTTCTGACCTCCCACTAGGTTGACAGTCCTGCCATTCAGCTAGTTGCTTTCACCACTTGGCAGAAAAGTGAGTTCTTCCTTGAAACTTTTATTTTACCTTTTTTAAATAAAAATGGGGTCTCACTATGTTGGCCAGGCTGGTCTTGAACTCCTGGCCTCAACTAATCTGCCCA